GCGCGGGGGGTCGGGCGGGGAGGTCGGCGCGGTGGGGGGGGGGGGGTGTTGCCGGCGGCTCCCTCCCTCGCCCCGCACACAAAGGCCGCTCTCACCGTGCGCTCCCGGCTCCGCCGCGCCCCGCGCCCGCCGCCCGCCCGCGGCCGCCAGCAGCAGCAGCACCGGCAGCGGCGGCAGCGGCGGCAGGAGGCGGCGGGGCCGCATGGTGGCTCCGCGCCGTTACCCCGCCATGCCCGGCCCGCCCGGCCCGTCCGCCCGCCCGCCGCGGGGACCGGGCTCCACCTGCCGGAGCCGCCGGGCACGGCCGCCCCGGTGCCCACCCCCGGACCGGCACCGCCCCGCCGCCGGGACCACCCACCCGGCACCGCCCCGAGACCCCCAGGCCCACCCCCGGCACCGCCCCGAGACCCCCCCCCAGACCCACCCCCGGTGCCGCCCCCCGGCACCGCCCCGAGACGCGGGACCCGTCGCCGGTACCGCAGCGGACCCCGGGATTCCTCCCCGGGACCCCTGAGAGACCTGGACCGCGACTCCGTACCGGCAACGGCATCCCGGACTGACCCTGGTGTCGGCAGCGGCAACCCAGCAGCCACCCCCGATACCGGCACCGACCCCTGGAGCCACCTCCGACAGCTCCCCGAGCCCCGACAGTAACCGCAGTACCGACCCCGACCCCAGGTACCCCCCCCGGTACCGCCCCGAGACCGGGACCGGAACCCGGAACCGCAACGTCATCCCAGGACTGACTCCGGTACCGGCACCGGCATCTTTGCACCGACCCCGGTACCGCACCGGGACCTCCGGGACTCATCCCCGGCTCCACTCCGAGGCCCAGAACGGGGACTTGGTACCGGCACCGGCATCCCAGGACTTCCTCGAGCCTCAGTGTCGACCCCCCGGTACCTCACCGGCATTTCGGGACTGACCTCCGGTACTGCCTCGATCCCCCAGACCCACCCCCGGGACTGACCGCGGGACCGACACCCACCCCCGGTCCCAGTACCAGCCCCGGTCCCGGCCCCCGGTGCCGCACTGGCATCCTGGCAGACATCCACCCCAGTACCGACCCCACAGCACCGCACCAGCCTCCCGGGACTCACCTCCGCACCAACCCCCCCACATCTCCCCCCAGCCCCGGCACTCGGCTCCCCGAACCCCCTGCCCCCCTCCAGCCCCCCAGCACCCACCCATCTCTGTGGTGCCACATGTGCCCCTGGGGCAGCCACTGGGCACACGGGGGTTCCCAAAAGCCCCTCCCTCTTGCCTCTGTGCACCCCTGCGTGTTCCCTGTCCCCTCCCCAACCCCCCAATGCAGGTCCTGGGGAGCACCCCCGTGTCACCCACGGGCAGCACCCAAGTGCCAGGCAGGGATTTATTGTCTGGGGGGGAGCAGAGGGAGGCTGGGGTCCCACGGGCACTCAGGGGAGTCGGGGACAAGGGGGTTGGGGAGAGGGGCACAGGAGAACCACGGGGGACCCCACTAGCCCTGGGCACCCCCGGGCTCCTGGGCCTGGCTGGGCTCCTGTGTGTCCCCCTCGGTGGGCGGCCGTGTCCTTTTGAAGAAACCCATCTGGAAAGGGACAGGGTGACAGCCAGGCCCTGTGGGACCCCATGGCACTGGTCCCAGGGACCCCACAGCATCACCCCCCAGGGATCCCTGTGGCACCACCCCCGGGGACCCCACAGCATCACCTCCCAGCTGCCCCCCTCCCTGTCCCACAGCCCCCACCCACAGGTCTATGCCCCCCATTTCATGGTCCCTCCAGTGCCAGTGAGGCCCCACCACCATGGTGGGTGTCCCTGGTGTCTCCAGTGTCCCCAGTGTCCCCCTACACCCACTCACCTTCCACATGAAGAGGCTGAGGAGGGTGAGGAGCAGGAGCCCGGCCAGGACCCCCAGCACCACCCCCCACACCGGCACGGTCCCCTTGCCCCCGGGGCTGGCACGAACCACCCGGGTGACAGCCTGCGGAGGGACGGCTGGGTGACACTGCTGCCACCACAACCTGTCCCCGTTTCCCCGTGTCCCCAACAGCTCTACCGTGGCGTTGCCGGCGGGCAGGACGCGGGGCTGGACCCGGTAGGGCATGGCCGAGGTGCTGAACCACGCCTGGGACTGGATGAGGAACTGCGACAGGAGGTGCTCCCGCTGGGGACACACATGGGGACAGACGTGGGGACACACGGGGACACATTGGAGACACGGCATCAGGGGTGCTGGCGGCCAACGGGACACCCATGACGCCTCTCATGTCATCCCCAGTGCTGCTCTCTGCAGGAGGGGACATGGGAGGGACGCCCGAGGGCCACAGTGCCACCCTGTGCCCTCGCTGTCCCCAGGAGGGGACAGTACCTGCTGCAGGGTGTCCATCCAGAGCAGGGCGTGAACACTGACCAGTGCCCGCTGGTCCTTGCCCAGGCTGGGCACGTGGCAGGTGATGTCCACGCACGTGGCATTGTCACAGTCCTGAGGGACACGGCAGGTGTTGGGGACCCCCACCCCGGGGGACACCCCCAGCCCTGCACCCGTTGTGGGCTGCAGGTCCCCGGGGTCATCATGGGGCGGGGTCCTCCACCCAGCTCCACGTCCATAGTGGGATGCAGGTCCCTGGGTGCACCCACTCACCGCAGGGATGGGGTCCCCCACCCTGGAGGCACCTCCAGCCCCCTCCCCATAATGGGTGCAGGTCCCCGGGGTCACCCACCCAGCATAGACAGGGTCCCCCACTCTGGCACCCCTCAGGCCCCCCCCCATCACGGGGTGCAGTTCCCCGGGGTCACCCTCTCACCACGGGGACAGGCTCCCCCAGCCCCACCCCCGGGGGCTCCTCCGCCTCCCGGCGCTCCCGCTGGCGGGTGCCGTTCCCGGGCGCTGCTCCCGTGGGACCGGCGATCTCCAGCTGGAAGGAGACAAAGGGGTCACGCCCCCCCCCCTTAACACCCACCAGCGCCCGCGGGCGGGCACTGGCCCCTCAGCCCCTACCTGGGCGGGGTTGAGCTCGGGGTGGTGGGTGCAGTTCATGCCCCCCTCGGTGCCCAGCTCCAGCAGGTAGAGAAGGATGTGGCCGCCCAGCTGGTGGGGGACAGCGAGGCGCAGGGTGACCCCGCTGACGGTGCTGGGACCCTTGTTGTGGAGCTGCGGGAGGACAGGGGGGTGACACCAGGGAGGGGACAGAGGGGACAGCCCCCTGGGCACCCGGGGGGGGCAGTGCCCTACCTCATAAACGTGCTCCACCTTGATGCCGTGGTCCTCGAGCCGCCGGCTGCCCTCCACCCCCTGCCAGCTCGTGGGCAGCACCGTCGTGTCTGGCAGGGAGTTGCTGGCGGGAGAGGGGGGTCAGTGTCCCCCTTTGTGTCTCCCCCCGCCTGTCCCTGTGCCCCCCAGACCCTCACCCTCGCAGCTCCATCTCTGCCTGCGCCTCCACGGGCACCGTCACTGTCACCGACGCATTGGTGGGGCTGGGGCTGTTCTTGCTGCGGGGGGAGGGACAGACACCGAGTTTGGGGACATGCTGAGGACACCGATCCCGAGTGCCAGTGTCCCGACAGAGGGAGGGGACAGGGGGACGGCAGTGTCACCTCCGCAGCTGGAGCTGGAAGGTGATGGCATCCCCCATGTCCTCCAGCCCGGACACGCTCAGCTCCATGTCCACAGTGATCTGGGGGGTAGGAGGGAGGTGGGTGACAACCCCAATGCCAGGGTGGGTGATGGGCACAGCAGAGAGACCCCCCCATCCCCTTACCTGGGCCCCTGCTTTCATGGGGTTGCCCAGCTCGCAGAGCACCACGTGGGTCCCGTTCTCCTTCTTGGGGTTGCAGCTCAGCTTCTCCTGCCCCTGTGGGTGGGGGACACAGGGAGGGGACATGTCATGGACCCCTCTCTGCACCCTCCACCCCGGGGACCTGCATGGGCCGAGGGCAGGGCGTGAGACCCCCACCCTGACACCCCCCACCTCTGGGCACCCCAGTGGAGGGTGATGGCCATGAAGTGCAGGACATGAGCCCCCTGTCCCTGGATCCCTGGGCACCCATGAACACTGGGCACCCACATGGAGGATTATGACAACCAAGGACAGTGTGAGCCCCCAGAACTGGGTCACCCCCCCATGCTGGGCACCCCCTGACACCCATCACCACCTGGCACCCCCGTGGACAGTGATGGCCACCAAGGGCAAGGTGTGAGCCCCCCACCCCTGACACCATCAAGGACACGGCGTGAGCCCCTCATCCTGCACACCCCCCAGCACCCGTCACCGCTGGGCACCCCCATAGAGTGTGACACCCACAGAGGGCAGGGCATGACCTCCCCACCCCAGACACCAACAAGGACACAACGAGAGCCCCTCACCCTGCACACCCCACAACACCCATCACCACTGGGCACCCCTGTGGAGGGTGACAGCTGTCAAGGGCATGGTGTGAACCCTCCACCTCACACACCACCATGGGCTGAGTGATCCCCCCCCACCCCGGGCACCACTGTCCCCCCTGTGGGCACCCACCGGGATGGTGCTCCTGGCTGCCTGGTAGTGGGTGCCAGGGGGCAGCTGCACCCTCAGCTCGGCCTCGAAGGCGCCTTCGCCCGCGTTGGAGGCGTGGGCGCGCAGGCGCAGCGCGGCCTCCGCCCCGATCAGCAGGTGCTGGCTGGGGCTGGGGGACACGGGGACACGGGGACAGGGCTCAGCACCCCATGGGGACACCGGCTACCCCCCTGACCCCCCCGTCCCAGGTGCTCACGTGTCAGCAGCCAGGTGGAGGTCAGGGATGCAGAGATTGTCCTCACCACAGTCCTCCAGGATGATGTGGGTCTGGGAAGGGGACAGGGAAGGGACAGGGAGACCCCCATCTAAGGTGCAGTGTGGGAGGGGGAGTCACTGGGGACAGCAGAGGATACGGGAGGGGAGTTTCTGGGGAGGGGTTGGGCTGGTGGAGGAGGCAGAGGGGACATCCCAGGGGGGAAGATTTGGGACAGTGAGGGGTAGAGAGGGAGTGATTGAGGATGGTGGAGGGGAGAGAGGTGACACCCCGGGGGAGGAAGAGCAGAGGGGATGTCCACGGGACTGACTCAGGATAGGGGACGATACTGTGGGACACCCCAAGAAGGGAGCAGGGACAGCAGGGGGACATCCTGGGGAGAGATTGGGGATGGCAAAGGGGACAGAGGGGACACCCTCAGGGGTGTGAGGTGAATGGGATACAGAGGTGACATCCCAGGAGGGACTGGGGACAGCAGGGTGAGCACAGAAGGTTGGGCAGGAGGGACAGTGGCAGGGCACAGTGGGGGGGCACATTCCAGGGGGGATGGGGGACGGTGTGAGGGGTAGGAGCACATCCCAGCAGGAACTGGGGACAGTGAGGGGGGTGGGTCAAAGTCCCAGGGAGGGGCTGGGGACATTTGGACAGGCTAGAGACCCCGGGGCTGAGCACACCCAGGCTGGGGGAACCCACGTGTGCCCTGGCCCAACCATGAGGAGGGGCCCACCCCGTGTCACCACAGCCATGTCCCCCCACAGCTGCGTCCCCCCTACCTGTGCCTGCACCAGGGTGTTCCCGTAGAGCACCAGCCCCGGGGCCTCCCGGGGCAGTGCCAGGGCCACGCTCAGGGCCACCGGGCTCAGCTTGTCCTTGAACTCGGCCTCGTCCTGAGGACACCATGGGCAGAGCACTGTGGAGGGCACTGCGAGCCCACCCCACCCCAGGACCCCCACCCAACACTGTCCCCATCCCTGTCACCCACCCTCCTGGGACACTGTTGTCCCCAATCCTTGTCTCTATTCCTGTCCCCATCCCGGCCGGAGATGCCACATCCCCATCCCTGTCCCCCACCCTCCTTGGGCTGTGTCCCCCCGTGCCCGTACCCGCAGGTAGGCGGTGAGGTTGCGGCACTGGGGGCGTGTCCCCGGTGTCACCACCAGCTCCTCGCGCCAGGACGACTGGTGTCCCTGCAGGAGCAGGACCCTCCGGGACAGCCGAGGCTTCAGCCGGTCCAGCTGCAGCTCAGCCTCCAGGTCTGGCAGAGCATAGAGCAGGGTGGCATTGGTGACACCTCTGGGGACACACCAGCGGTGCCCGTGTCCCCCCCGGGTGGCGCTGGCACTCACGGATGGCCGAGGGGATGTGCTGGCCCGTCACGCTGACACAAAACACCACGTGGAAGCTGCGGAGGAACAGAACCCGGGGGTGCTCAGGGACCTGTCCCGTCCCCACGGCAGTGTCCCCACAGCAGTGTCCCCATGGCATTGTCCCCCCAGCGGTGTCCCCACAGCAGTGTCCCCACGGCAGTGTCCCCGTAGTGGTGTCCCCACGGCAGTGTCCCCATAGCAGTGTCCCCATTGTCCCTACGGCTGTGTCCCCACAGTGGTGTCCCCACAGCGCTGTTCCCATGGCAGTGTCCCCTCATCAGTGTCCCCACACGGGTGTCCCCAGCACGCGCCTCACCAGCTGACACGGATACCAGAGTCGGGCAGGACACAGTCCAGGACCTCGGGGTTCAGCCCATCGGGGACGCTCAGCTGGGTGTGGGCCACCACCACGGGCTGTCCCCTGGGGCACGGGGACATTGCTGATGGGTGCCAGGGGACCCGGTAGGGACTCCCGGGTCACCGTAGGGACGGGCACTCACCGGTACACGGCCACCTTGGCCGCCCCGTAAGCCCCGACCAGCAGATCTGCGGGGACAAGCGGAGGGTCGGTGCCGGGGTGGTGACACCGGGGTGGCAGGGCGATGGCAGGGCGGTGACAGGGTGGTGGCACCCCGGGGCCGTACCCGGGTAGCCGTTGCCGTCCAGGTCGGTGCCCCCTCGCAGGGCAAAGCCGAAGGCGGCGGGGCCGGGGAAGGGGCTGTCGAGGCGCTGGGTGGGCACCGGCTCCAGCCCTTCGCTCTGCCCGCGGAAGATGAAGACCTGCCCTCTGCCATCGTCACCCCCCTGCGGGGCACCCACGGCCACGTCTGGGGACAGGGGGACGTGAGCGCCCACCCAGCAGCGCCCACCCAGCACCACCCATCCAACACCGCCCACCCAGCACCGCCCACCCAACACCACCCACCCAGCACCACCCATCCAATACCGCCCACCCAGCACCAGCCACCCAGGTGCTCCCGCCCCAGTTTCCCCAAGGTGGGGGCACAGCCTGGCACAGCCCCCCGGTCACCACCCGCGATGTTACCGCCGAAGCCGTCCTTGTCCAGGTCCCCCAGGCTGGCGATGGCGGCGGCGAAGCGGCCGTAGGGGTGGGTGCCCGTCAGGGTCTGGGGGGGTCGGGGGAGGAGATGCTGCCCCCCGCCCAGGTAGAGGTAGAGCCGCCCCAGTTCGCTGCGCTGCCCGTCGGGGCGCCGGGCCATGTACAGGGGGGCACCCACCAGCAGGTCGTCCCGCCTGTGCCCGGCGAGGGGTCAGGGTGAGGGTCCTCACGTTTGGGGGCTGGGGGCACCCAGGGGTGTGCCAGGCGCGGGGCAGCACCTCTGGGTGTCCCCGTGGGGAACTGAGGGGGGGGACACACACAGTCTCGGCTCTCACCCGTCCCCATTGACGTCGGCCACGGCCACCGTGTGCCCGAAGTACGATGCCACCTGGAAAGGGTCCGGGTGGGGGTGGCATCAGGGGAGTGCCAAAGACACCGTGGGGTGCACTGGGTGATGGGCGGGGGGGATCGGGGGGCTGGGGGGGCTGGGGGGTTATGGGGAGGAGTGCAGGGTTGCCGTGGAGCCCCGGGGGGTGCTGAGGGTGGCACAGGGTGGGGGTACCTGCTCGCTGTCGATGCCCCGCAGCCGGCGCAGGGTGTTCCCCGCAGTGAAGATCTCCACCTGCCCAGGGCAGCGTCAGACCCCAGCCCGGGGGGCGACACGGGGGTGACCCCCCCAGCTGGCATCGGGCACGGGGCACTGGGCACCCCCCAGCACTCACCTCACCCTTTGTGTCTCTCTTGTTGGGGACCCCCACCACGTACTCTGTGGGGGATGAGAGCCATGAGTGACTCCATCAGGGCACTGGGGGGGGCATGGGGATATCCCTGGCACTGTTATGGACTCAAGGATAACCTTGGCACTGGTGTGGGCACAGGGATAACCCTGGCACTGGTGTGGGCACAAGGATAACCCTGGCACTGGGGTGGGCACAGGGATAACTCTGACGCTGGGGTGGGCACAGGCATATCCCCAGCACGGGGATGGGCAGAGGGATACCCCTGGCAGGGTGTGAGGGGTATGGGGGCACAGAGACAGGACAAAGGGTGTGACCTGGCACAACCTCTCTCCAGCACCCCTGGGAGGAGGGGAGGTCTCCCCAGGGTGTCCCGGGCCCATCAACCCCCCCGCCCGCAGGTGGCTCTGCCCCCCACGCCCCCCAGCCCTACCTTTGGTTTTGGGGTTGCCATCGAACTCGCCCACAGCCACCGAGTACCCTGCAGGGAGAGGGGCACCAGTGAGCCCGGGGTGCCCCGGCAGGAGCCGGCTGTGGGGCGGGGTGCCCGTGCCCGCTGCTCACCCCGGTACCCGTCCTCGTATTCCAGGGACACGGGCACCGTGGGGCGCCCCGGGGTCCCCAGCCAGAGCAGGGACGTGCCGTGGAAGCGGCTGAGGATGGTGTTCACCTCCACGGAGTACAGGAGCCCTGCGGGACACGGGGGTGGGCGGACACCAGCGCTGAGGGGGCACCCGCTGCCACACGCCCCGGGCTGCCAGTGCCACTGCGGATGGCACTGAGGGGTGGCCCATGGGTGCCCTCCTCTCGCCGTGCCCACCCGAAGGGAGCACTCCGGGAGCACCAGCCCGGCAGGAAAGACTCACCCGTGAAGTAATACCCGCCGGGGGCACCCAGCACCAGCGTGCCGTCCTGCGGGAGGAGCTGATCTCAGCACCGCCCTGGGGCACCCCTACCCTGGCATCCCGCCCAAACATCCCTTATCCTGACGTCCTCCACCCCAGTACTCCCACCTCAGCATCCTTTATCCTGGCATCCCCACCCGGGCAACCCCCCAAGCATCCTCACCCAAGTACCCCCCCACCCCAGCACCCTCCATCCTGGCACCCCCACCTATCTCCCACTCCAGCATCCCCCACCCCAAAATCCTCCACCCCATCATCACTCATCCTGACATCCATGACCTTGACATTCCCACCTTGGTATCCTCCTCGAGCATCCCCATCCAAGTATTCCCCATCCAAGTATTCCCCACCCCAGCATTCCCCAAGCATCACTCCCAAGCATCCTCACCCAAGTATCTCCCATCCTGGCATCCCTCCCATCCTGGCATCCCTCCCATCCTGGCATCCTCCACCAGAGCATCATCCATGACCCTGCCATCCCCACCCAGGCTTCCTCCACTCCAATATTTCCCACTCCATCATCCTCCACCCTAAAGCCCCCACACAACTATCCCACATCCTGGCATCCCCCCACTCAACCATCCTCCACCCCAGCACCTCCACCCAAACCTCCCCACACCCTCTTCCCCTCTCCTGGCACCCCCACCCCAGCATGCCCCACTCTCTCATCCCCATCCTGGGGTCCCTCTCCCTGGAATTCCCACTCCAGCGTCCCCCACTCTGACACCCCCACTCAGGTACCATTCCGGCCACACCCTCTGCATCCCTGGCAGCATCCCCATGGGAATCCCAGGGGCACACCGGGCACGCTGCCCCTCGAGTCCCCCCGATCCCCCCGGGCCCCCTCTCACCGGGGTGACGGCGGCGCTGAAGCCGATCTCGCAGTAGCGCTTGTCGTGCTCTGCGGGCACAGGGCAGGGTCAGACCGACACGGGGCGGGGGTACCCCCCGTTCCTCACCCCCTTCACCCCCCTCACCGTAGTTGTTCTGGCGGTAGGTGTTGGCCATCGACTGGTCCCGGCAGGGCGAGTACCAGACCACGCGCCGCAGCCCCGGTGTCGCCACGAAGCAGGTGCCCGTCGGGGTCCGGAACGCCTCCTCCGACCCTTCCATGGCGTTCCAGTGCTGCAGCGGGGCGCAGGCCTGGGCAGGGGCACGGGGATGGCACAGGGTGGGTGCCCACCCCGCCGTCACCACCCACGGGTCCCCAAACCCCCCTCCCCGCCGGCTGCACCCACCACCAGTTTGCCGTCCCAGCCGGTGACGGACGCGCCCAGCCACTGGTGCGACTTGTAGGTGTGGAATTCCAAGGTGCCCCGGGTCTCGGTCTCGTCCCCTGGGGGAGCGGGAGAGGGGGATTTTGCGGGTCCGGCACACGCCCTGTGCCCACCCAGCACCACGCGGCGCCCACGTACCTGCGGTGTCGATGGGGAGGGGGCGGCAGGGGGTCTCGTCGGGGGGCCAGGAGCAGAGGAAGACGGCGCCGGGCTGAGCCACGCCGGGCTGGGAGGTGTTGGCACGGGGGGCCCCCACAGCCACGCTGGGTCTGGGGGGCAGAGGGGGTGTCATTTGGGGGGGCGGGTGCCGCTCCCGACCCCGGCCCCGCGGTGTGTCCCTACCTGCCCTCTGTCACGAGGAAATCCAGGGCGAAGCCGAAATAGCTGCCGGGGGGTCCCGTGTACTCGGTGGGGGGTTCCTGGAGAAGCCCCAGGGTGGGGGGCAGGCGCAGCCCCCCGAGGAGCAGCAGCACCCGCAGCAGCCCCATGGCCACCCCGAAATGTGGCCACAGCCCCGGCACGTCCCGGGGCGGTCCCGGCTTATCTCGGAGGACGCACTCGGGGCCGGGGACAGCAGTGATGGGGGGCACAGGAAGGGCCCCCCCGAACGCGCATCCGCTCCTGCGGGAGCCAGAGGGGTGTGGGGGGGGATGTGCTGGGTCGGATGTGGCCGGAGCAGGGTGGGGGGCAGGAGGTGGCAGTGCCACCGAGGGACACTGGGAGGGCTGGGGGGACAGGGGGGCAGCACCGCGCCCACCAGCAGCCGCCCGCCGGGGCCGAATCCAGCCCGCCCTGGGGTGCCAGTCTCGGGGGGGGCTATTTCGGGGTGCAGGCAGCCCTGGCCAGCGGAAATGCGGCGGGGAGGGGGGAGGACAGCAAGGCACGGGGCTCCTGCGTCGTCCCCAGTGTCCCCTCCACAGCCGGATGGAGCAGACAGCACTGGCCCCACCAGCACTGGGCATTGCCTGCAAACTGTTTCCCCCCCCTTCCCCAGGGTAGGGACACCCCAAAACCCTCCTAAGGGGCTGGGCAGCACAGGGAAATGGCTCTGGGAAGGGGATGGGTGCCAGGTGGGGGCACAGCCCACAGCCAAGAGAAAAAAGGGGGTTCCTGTCCCCCGTGGAGGAGCCAGTGCCCCTCAGCCAAGCCAGGCCTGGGGCAGCTGTGGGGGCTCAGCCCTGCCCGGACAGTGGCTGAGCCCCTGAACCCATCTGCACAATTAATTTAAACTCAATTAATTAAGGACCCTCAGGGTGCCTCGGGGCTCCTCGGGCTCCTCATGCCCACCCAAAGCCCATGGCAGGGACAGGCCCCGGAGCATCTCCCTGTGATCCAGTCCCACCTGTGAAACTTCCTTTCCATCTCTGAAGCTGCAGGTGGGAAGCAGGACAGAGGGGTCAGGGGGTCCTGCAGGGCACAGGGAGGCCACCACAGTGCCCAAACGGCACCTTGGCCCCTGAGGGGAGACACAGCCCCAGAGCCTGGACTGCTCCAGCCCTTCGGAGCAGCTGCAGTTGGAAAACAGCTGGAGCAGAGCTCCGAGTTGGGAAGGATTTAGCTGAGCCCAGCTCAGCTCTGTGCCCCGGCAGAGCAGGACACCGGGCTCAGGGGCAGCTGCTCCTCCTCGGGTGGTCTCATCCCCCGCTGGCAGCAGCATCCAAACCCTTCTGGAGCCCACACCAGGCCCTTCAAGGCCTGTGATTCCTTCTCCCGTTGAATTACTTATTTCCCCGTTCCTTGCGGCTCTTCTGCACCATCGCTCATCAGCCTCCCCGGCCCAGGGCCACCCAGAGGACAGACAGGCAATGGCAGGTGGCACCCTGTGCCCCCACCCTGGCAGTATCCTGGGGTTTGGATTTTTTTCCTTTAACTAAATCAGGACTTTATTTAGAAAAGGAGAGGCGGGTGCTCCTCCCCCTGAGCTCTCACGGCTTCTGACACTCGCCCAGGCTGGAACAGCAGCACAGCCTGGGGTGGAGGGACCCCAGGGGCAAAACCCCCAAAATCCCATGGCATGACCTGGGCAACCCCAAGCTCCTCGACCACAGTGGGGACAGTCCTGAGGAGCAGCTGAGGGAGCTGGGGGGGCTCAGCCTGGAGAAAAGGAAGCTCAGGGGGGACCTTCTGGCTCTCTGCAACTCCCTGACAGGAAAGGGGAGTCGGGCTTTGCTCCCAGGGAACAAGAGACAGGAAGAGAGGAAACGAGCTCAAGGGAGATTTAGGTTGGATATTAGGGAAAATTTCTTCCCCAAAATGTTTGTCCAGCCCAGGCACAGCTGCCCAGGGAGGTGGTGGAGTCCCCATCCCTGGAGGGATTTAAAAGCCATGTGGCACTTGGGGACATGGTCAGTGGTGGCCTTGGCAGTGCTGGGGGATGGTTGGACTCGATGACCTCAGAGGGCTTTTCCAATCTGAACAACTCCATGATTGCAGGACAAGGCTGCAGCCCAGGTCAGGAACTGCTGAAGAGGGAGATGGAAAAAAAGGACACGAGGGCTGACAGACCCCCAACACCACAAGGAGCTGCTGGAGGAGTGTGGAGAAGCAACACCATCCTCCTGGGCAGGAGCTGCTGCCCTCCCCACCTTGGCTTCTGGCCGCTGTCAGATGACACAGGAATGGACATTTCCTCTACCTTACAAGTAAAATATTACCATTAAAATATGACCCAAGCATCCCCTACCACAATTTAAGGAGAAAGCCACCTGATGCAGCAGCTCCACGCCATCACACACCACCACATTTGTTTTTTCCACAAATCATTGGTTTATTAGAAAGGTTTTTTTCCCTCATTTTACAGCATATATATATATTTATATATATATCTTATGTGACAAAGTTAAATACAGTCTGTTTATGCTCGTTAAGTAATGACAGGTTAATTATTTTTAGCGCTATCCTGGAAGTCCAAAAACAACCCCGGGATGGGGTCGGGCCCTACAAAGCTCAGCTCTGACAGTAACACTGAATTGTTGGGTATTTACAGGAAATTGAGTCCCTTTTTGTGACCCCTGTGTCACTCTGACCTGCTCCAATTTCTCGTTTACACAGTGAGGAAGCTCAGGAGGGTTTGATCCTTTGACTCCGTGCTCCAGGACGGGACAGGGAAGAGGATGAGGATGGAGAAGGGGACAGGGATGCCACTGCATCCCCTCGGTGCCTGCTCTGAAATCTCACCCTACAGAGCCTCCCCGAGGTGCCCCAACCACTGTGACACGAGGGGACCTGCACCTGCAGTGCCCGTGTCAGCAAACCATCCCCTGGGATGGGACAGGGAAGCTCCCACAGGCACTGCTGGGAAGAGCTGGGAAACCCCTCCTGGAATAAGTCAGGCAGCCCCAGCTCAGTGTGACCCCGTGTGTGGGATGGGAACGGTCCCAAGGCTCTCCTGCACCAGGAGCCTGTGCACATCACTTTTTCAAACAGGGGAAAAGGAAAGAGGGAAAAAAAAAAGGGATATCTATACTCTGGGAGACACTCTGAATTCCTGCTGCTCCCCACGCTGCTCCAGTGCCCATTCCTATGGCAGGGAGGAGAGCAGCACCTGCTGGAGTCACCACTGCCCCCACCCCCTCACTGTGCCCAAGTCTCACCTGTTGGTTTGTTTTTTTTCTTCTGCAAAATTCTAAATGAAGGTTTTTTTATTTTTTTTTTTTTTTACATTTTATAGTACATAAAAACTTCAAAAATACATGAGCTTGATAAAATATACATGCTTAGTTCGTTCTGCATCTAGCTGAAACTATAAATTGAACCTTTACAAGTGTCTTGGGTCACCTACAGCAAACATATTTACACAGAAGCCACCAGAACAAGTACCACTAAGAACTGGCTGTAAAAAATATTATTGCGATATACTACAAATGTAACCTTTGATAGGAGCTACAAAAAGCAGCATCTTTGTTTACAGAGTTCAGTGCAATTCTTTACATTAAAAAAAAAATAATCCTATAAATTAATAAGGAAACAACCATCAGTGTTACAGAGGAAAGAACACGCTTCACACCCCCGGCCGCGCTCCTCGTCCTCTGTATTGCTTCAATTCCTAACAGGATTTTCCTTCTCTCTCCCATCCCAGTGCCTTTTTCCCAACACCACAGAAGATGGAAGTCAGAGTGATTTCTTTTTTTTTCCCCCCCTTCCAGGAGAAGAGTGGTCAAAGCCCAGACTGGAATTCCCAACCCCAACGAGCAGCTCTCTCCAGTCCGGGATATGCAGGTGCGGTCCTGGTGCAGAACACGGATGCAGGATGGAGAAGGATGGGAGCTCTGGGCACACACACAGCTCCTTCTCCTCTTTACAGTAAGATCTTACTTCCACCTTTGCTGCTCACACCAAGAAAAAACCCACATGTGCAGTGACAGGAGCCAAGAAACCTTCTGTAAGGCCTGAAAACTGAGGCCTCCTCGCTGGGATCCGCAGCCGACAGCTCCCGAATGTTCCATCGCCAATTACACACCGGATTCAATCATGCTGACTATTTTAATTAGATGACCTCATTAAAAGGATTTTGAGAGACCTATTAGTGTGGATGAGACCTCATTTATTATATACAAGGCGGCAGAAGGAAGATGACCAAGTGTAAGAACCCGGGGGGGAAAAAAAAAGCCTTTCCAAGTGTCTCGCTGGTCTGCAGGTGAAATGGTTCTTCTGGAACGGTGCTGGCTGCGTGCACGGAAGTGTCGGAGCGAGACATCCCTGGGAGTGGATATGGACAACGCTGCCGCCCAGCCCTTGAGCCTCCGGCTTCTTTGGCTGCTCAAGAGTGACAGGAAACGCTCAGGCCTCACCCGACCGCTGGATCAGCTCCAACCCCTTCCCAAAACTCCGAGGTTCCTTCGTTCTGTCCTTCATGTGCCGTGGCTGGGTGGGTGCTGCAAGTCCTGTCCTGAGAAAATGGGGTGCAGCAGGGGGTGGAGGTGCAAGGCCGTGGCGGCGGCGGCGGCTGCGGGCCTCGGGGCCAGGAGGGTCGGGTAGAGAGCGTGCGGGACCGGGTGGAACGTGAAGGGGCCCGGGTGGATGGCTGAGGCCGGAATGATGTGGATGGGGTGGCTGGCCAGGAAGGTGGCGGGGTGCCCTGGAATAATCGAGTGGGTCAGGTGGGATAAGGAGATGGGCGTCAGGTGGGGCTGGGGGATGTGGTGGACCTGAGCGAGGGGCTGCGGGTGGGGGTGCGGGTGGATGCCGATGGCGGCGGCGGCGGCGGCGGCGTGGTGCTGCAGGATGGCGTGCTGCACCGTGGTGATGGACGTGGCCGAGGCCGCCGCCGGCTGCTGGATGTGGATGGGCTGGAGCGCGGGCGCTGCCGGCGCCAGGGCCGCAGAGGCGGGGAAGGCCTTGACTTGCTTGGCCAGGAGCTGCTGCTGGATGTGCTGCTGGGCCGCCTGCTGCAGCTTGCTGTACTTCTCCATCTCCTCGGGGGTGAAGGTGATGGGCTGGCTCTCCAGTGGGGCCAGAGAGGAATCTTCTGCCCCTTCCCGATCCCCTTCCATGCTCGGCTCGCCGCTCTGAGGCACATAGCCAGGAAAGTGCTCGACGTCTGGAACTAAGGGCATCATACTGGTTTCCACTGGGACCGGCTGGCTGCCCCCATCCATAGGTTCCAGCCCGTCACCATCGCTCGGATCCGAGAGGAAGTTGTGTGACATGACCAGATCTCCGGAGCCAAAGCACTCGGGGAGCGCTGGCGCTTCCAGGGGAATCGACGGCATCTCCACGGCAGGTTCGTCACGTTTCGGCTCATCCAGAGGTTTGTCCTGAATGACCATCACCACATCTTCCAGGAGAGACTGCCCAGCCAGCTGACCCTCTTCCATGCCTTGGGAACCGTCCTCAGCATCCGACAGCTCTTGCTCCTCACCCCTCTCCAAGCCAGACTCCTCGTATCGTTTGGAGTTCGGTTTCCGCACCGTTGGCAGCTTCCCGATTAACGGGAGAACCGGTTTGTTGCCTAAGGAAGGAGGAAGTTTCGGGCCAAAGTAGCCCTGGGGAGGATCTTTGAGCTTTATGCCCACCTTGTTTGCCCCCGCCAGCACCTCGTCAGCCACACAGGGCTTCTTCTCAACCTTCCTGGACTGAATCTTTTCCAAGAGCAGCTTTGCAGTGACAGAGTTTCTCTCCTCAGGACTGCAGTCCCCTTCCGAGGCCCGCCCCGTGCCAGAGCTGCTGCTGTTCTGGGAGAGAGAGCCAGATCCTTTCAGATCCTCTCCTTTGCCCTCCTCTTTCTTCAGCAGCGATCCTTCACCTCGGCCTGTCCGGAAATAGTGCGGGGATTGGGAGCGATAGATCTTGGACCTGATGAAGTCCCTCCTGCCAGACCTTCTCTCCTCAGGGCTCTCGTGGCCCCGTGAGCCCTTCCGTGACAGGGACCTCTGCGAGTGGCTCCGGGTGCTGCGGCTCCGGTCCCGGCTGTAGCTGCGGCTCCGCTTCCAGCTCCGACCCGTCACACTCCGGCTCCTCCTCTTGCTCCGACTGCGGCTGCAGCTGCTGCTGCGGGTCCTGCCCCTGCTCCTCGATCTTGACCTGCCCCGAGGGTGGGTTCGGCTCCTGCTCCGGCTCCTGGACCTGCTCCTGCTCGAGCTGTAGTCATCTTCCGACGAGGAGTATTTGCGCCGCTTCGAGCGGTGGTTCGAGCTGTTGTAGTCGGAGTCATCCTCCGAGTCCTGGGAGCGCTTGGAGTGGCAGCGGGAGCGGTCGCTGTAGTCGCTGTAGCTGTCGTCGGAGTAGCTCCTGCGGCGGCTGTACCGGCTGTGCTCCGAGGAGGCGTCGGAGCTGCTGGAGTAGGACCTGTGGGAGGAGTGCCCGCGGCCCGAGCGGGAGCGGCTGCGGGAGTGCTCGCTGCCGGAGTCGTAGTCGTCGCTGTACTGGGACGGGGATTTCTGCCGGCAGTGCTTCCCGTGGGAGCCCTCGTCGCTGTCGTAGTCGCCGCTGCTCTGCCGGCTCCGGCGGCCGGGCCGGCCCTGAGACGCAGCCGGGCAGCGCCTCCTGGCAGCAGGGCCCTGCTGCAGCTCAGTCTTGTGTTTCTTGCTGCCGTGCTCTTGGCAGGAGTTACCCCCGTCCTCTTTTTTACCGCTGCTTCCCTCCTCGGCAGACAGGGATTTCCTCTGGGACTCCTGGGAGCACCGCTTTTTCTTCTGGAAGTGGCTGCAGTCTTCTGACAGTTCGGGTTTCAGCACCCGGTCCGACTCCGTCGAAAGGGAGGATTTGCCTTTTTTGTGCCTGTGCCTTTTCCGTTTCTTGGGTTTCTCTTCCCCCAGCTCAGCTTTACGGCCCTTTTCCTCAGCTTCCTCCTTGTGTCTGCGTTTGTGTCTGCTGGACTTTTTGTGCTTCTTTTTCTTTTTGTGTTTATGGGACCTCCCCGATTTACTCTTCCCCGTTATGCTCTTACTGCTGTCCTCCCCCTCCCCCTTACCGACGCTGCCCAGGCCAGACTCCTGCTTGCTCTGGGATTTGTTCTCTGTTTTCACAGCAGAACTGTTGCCTACACTTTCGCCCTCCTTGGCTTTGCTCACCTCACCAGACTCTGTGCTCTGACTGTTGTCTTTACAAAGTCCCCCCGGATCCTTGGATTTCTCTGCCCCTTTCCCTTTGGCATCTTTGTTGCGGGAGAGCTTGAAGTCGAAGTACAGGGGGTTACAGCTGTAGGACACAGAGGGCTCAGCTTTGGTGAATATGAGCAGCTCCGAAGGCCACTGCAGTGTTGTGCTCTCATCTTTACTCAGAACTGGGAAAAAAGGTCCTGTCGGGTGCTTTGGTCCCTCAGAGCCATCTCTGCAGCCCGAGGCAGGTGGAGCAGCTTCTTTAGCAGTGTCTGGCTCGGGGGGTTTGCTCTCTGGAAGGTGTTTGCTCTCCTCTGTACTTTCATTCTCCTGGATGTCTTTTGGCTCTGTTTTGCCCTGCTGGGATGTGGTTTCAGTAGTACTCTGCTCCTTCTGCTGCGCCGTGCTCTCAGTGGCTTTCTCCGTGTGCTTCCCGGGTTTGGGTTTGGGGGAAGTCCCCTTTTTCACTTCATTTGTGTTTTTTTTGTTCACATTTTCAGCTTCCATTTGTTCGGTTGACTTCATGAAAAGCAGGAATTGAAAATTGGGCTTCACTTTACAGTGGGCTGGGGGGATGTAGTGGTAGTACTCTGGTTCCACGGCCGTTGGTCCATCTTCTCTCCTCATCTTCTTCAGTTTCGATAAGGTGCTGGCCAGGGACCCGCCGTCCTTGTCGTGCTGGTCATCGTCCTCCTTGCCGTCAGAATTGTTGGTGCCTTCTCCCTCCCCAGACTTCTGCAGGCTGCCAGCCTCTGAAGACCCCCTCTCATCCCCTTTTGCCCCATCTGAAGAGCTGGACTCTTCCACATGGTCCTTGAAAACAGAAGCGATGGTCTCCAGCTTCACCGGGGTCTTCTTCGCGAAGGAAAACGACACCCCGATCTTCTGCAGTGGAGTCCCCAGAGAGCTCTTGATGCCAAAGCTGATGGCTTGTGCTGCCTGAGAGGGCGCCTGGCTTGGCATCACACCCTGTCCTGTGTTCAGGAAGCCTCTGTCCATAGTCATCTCTGCAGCCTGGCCAGAACTCGTCTGGACGAAGGAGCCGCTGTTGGCTGCGGAATCATCGTCGTCTCCACCTTCCTCATCCACGGCCACAGTGGTGGTTCTGAACATGGGCCCACTTCCAGGAGCACTGTGGGAACAGGGGAGAGAGAGAAAACAGCTCACTGGTGTCCATGTACCTCTGGAGTGGGATTCATGCCTCAGCTGAGACAGTCCTACACAGTTCAAGTGCTCTTGTACCCACGCACACGCAAAAAATAACATTATACAGCCACTTGGGAGATTTTAATAATATTAAATAACTGAAGAATATATATTGATGGATAAAGCACTTTGGGGATGCTCTGGATTATCAGTTTAGTGAATTCACTCCTACCAAAACCACAGCATGAGCCTAAATGTTAGTGTGAAGCTTCACCTTCAGAACCTGCACAGGATTCTGGAGCAGGAGTGCCAGCACTGCACAGGGCTGCAGCCCCCCTGTGCTCCAAGGGTGCTCCAAGGGTGCTTGGGACCACCCAAACTCACCACTCAGGTTGCCTCCTCTGCTCAGCCAGCTCGTGCAGGCGCCGGAGGGCCTTCTCCTGCTTCCTCTCATCCTTCCGTGACCTCGAAGAGACATTGCGAGCAAATTCCCTTTGCTTGAGATCTTTCAACCTCTGAGGCAAAAGAAAGCAGGGACAGATCAGATCAAAGCTGTTTGTGCTTTCGTCCAAGAAGATCTCGTTGCTGTAGCACTGGAAATTATGGTGTCAAGCCCCTCCCCAGGGACATTTATTGAGCCAGGATGGAGCAAGAGCATCTTAGCTCAACAAACCCAACGGAGCACAGCGCCATCCTCCCAGCAGCTAAAGGAAAACACAACCACTGATCACTTTTGGCTATGACTTCACATCTGTGTACATCCCTTTCCAAACAACGTTACTGGTTATCTTTAGCACGGACAACAAAGCTGACTTCGAAGCAACAAGCAAGTTCTGGAAGGAAAAGGGGGGAAAAAAGGAGGATTGTTTATTTGCTGCTCTTGCAGGGTGCTTGACAAACAGTGCATGACACGAGCCTGAGGAGCACGGGCCAAAGGACAGGAGGGATTAGCTGGTGCCAGAGTTACCTAGGAATGACATCTGACAAAAGCAATGTACCAATTACATTGGAGAAGGAGCCAAAAACCCCATGCAAATGATTCCGTAAGCAAATCAAGGATACAACATACACCACAACCAGTTACTTGCTTTCCTGACAGTAGTTCTGAGATGCTCTCTCAAGAAACAAACTACTCTAAATGCAGGAGGGTCTCTTGGGGTTGAGTACTTTGGGGGGCAGAAGCACTGAGTTCCCCAGAAATCTTGAGGGAATAAACACAATGCCAAGGAATTTCAAACACCCTGACATCACTGAGGAAGTCTAGGTAGTCAATTTTCATAGAAAATAAACAGCCAAGACTTCAGAACGTTTTGGAAAGTCCTTGTCTCAGAGCACTAGGAGAAGAGGCTGCTGGTTTTCCTTGGAATATATGTGGATATTCACAACACTTTTTTAGGGTGCTCTGCAGAAGTTGAAGTAACAGAAAGCAGCAAAGACAGACCTCTACCATCCTGAAGGGACTCACTGTTCTTTTTCAGTGCACAATTCAAAACCTTTTCAAAAGGCCCAATTCCAGAATGCATCCTGTACTCAGCTTTTGAAAGAAGTTTCATGTTTTTCAGGCATTTCATGCAGGGCCTGAGAGACTGATGGGACTCAGAGCAGGAGTCACTTTGGAACAATTCTCGTACAGGATGTACATAGCACTGGTGAATTCTAAATACTTCTGGCTGGCTGACTCTGCCTCTTTCCTGGAGCAGAGTCAGCCTGCCACACACAGGAACAGTGGATCTGGAAACCAACCCAAAGCTCAAATTAAAGGAATTAAGCTGGCCCAATGTAAAGAGAACATTGCTTTGTGAAAAAGGGGAAAACTGGACGAGACAGAGGATTCTCTTACCTAATTGTATTTACTAAATGTGGTTGAGGTGCTACCAAAATCAGAGGGGAAGACACACAAAGAAGATACAGCTACAGACACCAGTAGAAAGAAACTCACTCTTGTGATCTGGGCTCCAAAATTAGAAGGGTTTGCTTTCAATACATCAGCTGAAAACGTCACATCACAAAGAAAAAAAGAAAGTAAAAATATAACAAGAGTGGAAGAGAGGAAAAAAAATAAAAAAAAATACAAGCAAGCATTACTAGAGAGCTGTGGGTGTGTGGTGCCAGCTACTCTACAGAGCAGGAGAGGAGCCAGCAGAGCTACAGGACCAGGACAGGGGTCTGGAGAGGGGGACACAGACACGGACACGCACGGACACAGCAATGATCCCACCTGGAACAGCAGAGCTACTTTCACCAGGACAAGTAAAGGGCTCAAGGGTTTTGTGGTGTATGTTAAACGTTGAAGAGTAAATTTTTTTTCCAAGAGGGAGGAAAAAAAAAACCAACCCAACTAGATGGGACTAAAGCAACGCCATCGGCTTTTTCAGGCTGATTTCGAAAGCGTGTCTGAAATGCTCCGGGAAGTCACAGCCACCAACAGCTGACAAAACTATTTAATGGGGGCTGGTGCCAAGTCTCGAGATCACTCACCCATTTGGAAAAAAATATGACCCAGCTATTTACACCAGACATGAACTGTGACCTTTTCCTTTCAAGAGGAAGGTGCGATGGTGCACCCAGAACCCCTCCAGCCCCTGATCATCTCCCGGGGACACAAAGTGGGCTCAGAGTTGTTGGGAATAATGCAGCTGCCCCCCAGCTCTCCTGCCTTCACTACATGGCAATTTGAATGCAAACAGAATTAAATGCCCTTTTTTAAATGCTGACCTTTGTGTGTCTTTGCAGCCCCAACCTCCCGCTCTCAGCACTTAGAAATTAGAGGTGTGAAGCAAATGAACCACCCCAAAGCACCTGTAACCCCACAATATCCACCACAGCAACTCCCACCTGCACCCAAATCTGTGCCCTTCAGGGTGACAAACCACTGACTGTGGTGTTGAGGCTGCTGAGAATCTGTTACTCCTCAAACTGGGGAAAAGTTGGTCTGGCTTTACACAGGACTAAGAGATCTCAAGGCTGAGTTTCTTTTTGTCACACAGGAGCCAGAAGGAAGAAGGGTCTTGCTGGGGGAAGTACAGGGTAGAAAAGCTCCACAAATGCACCATGCCAGCTCCTTGGGAATGTAAAATATGGAATGTAACACAGTTCAGCTTATTTGACTGCCCTAAAACAATGCACCTATCATTGGAAATGACTCCTCAAGTTTGCAAGAGACCTGCCTGGACTGCGTTATCTTCCATAAATGCACCCTGGGGTAGGGAAAAGGGGGACAACAAGAGCCCAGACTGCTCATATGTAAAAACAACTCAGGAATGAAACTCTGAAAATAGCCAGAACTTCTCCTGACTGGGGAGAAGCAATTCCAGGCCTGAAGTACAATTTTCCAGCATGAAGGGAGCACATGGAGCACTGAAATGCTTCTCATACACTCCAGGCCTCAGCCTTCCCAGAAAGTCATCTGAACTAAACAGAGACTTAAGCCAGGCTTACACTAAAGAAATTTCCACCTAATCCCGAGGCGAGTGTTCATTATTCCAATCCTCCAAAACCTCTAAATTCCTTTTTGGATTGCACCATGTGTTGGGGTGTGAGGGAGGCTGGACAGCCACAGAACTGCCCCTTCCCCCAGCACAGCAGAGAAATTTCAGCAAGGATTTAACACAGCCACTCCATCATCCTTGGGCAGCTTCTCCCCTCCAAAAGGAGCCCTGGGAAACCACCTTCTTAGGGTGAATCCTGCCTTTTTAAAGTCTTCTCATAGTGCTGAGCAAGACTATGATTTTTTTCAACAGGATTAGAGCCACCAACCTGTATTAAATCAAACACAAGCTTCATGCTACTATAGGATTTCAAAATTAGGAGGCATTTTTTGCTCCACGGGCAGTGTGTTTTCTGAGGAAGCAGCAATGTATTATCAAGCTGTCGGATGATAACGACAATCAAGCCAAACTCTGCTGGTTTATTGCTTCAGCTGTCAGAAGGGCCACACCAGTGAGTGAGTGACCAGCACATTAGGACACAAATCACCAGCACTTATATGAAGTTTCTCCAGATTTCCACACTCTGGAAGCAGCATTTCACTAACCTCCAGCCTTCCTGTGTTTTATTAATAGCTGCCACCCCCCTCAGCTTTGTAACAAAGAAGAGTATTTTAAGTTTTCAGCCTTGTTTCTAACAAAATCATCATCTCTACATTTCCCCAGGAGTGCAAATGGAGCTCCTGAAGAGCAGGTTTGTTATCAAATCTGCAGCTACGTCCGGACTCCAGCACAAAGAGGCCACAGTGATGGATTATCTCCCGATCCCTGCGTGGCTCAGGAGGGGCTGAATTGGTAAAATCCACCATCACCTTACAATTCCCTGCAAATCAGCTTAAACCAGCTGCCCTGCAGCATCTCTGAAAAGCTCCAGAGCCCAGCACAGGCACAGCAAAATGGGGAAATAAAGGGGGGGG